CATTTCCCAAGCACTTTACATATACAGTCGTACCTTGGATCCCGAACGCCTTGGTTCTTGGACGTTTTGGCTCCCGAACGCCGCAAACCCAGAAGTGAGTGTTCCGATTTGCGAACGTTCTTTGGAACCTGAACGTCCGATGGGGCTTCATGCAGCCAATCAGAACTTTTGTTTCTGAACACTTTGGAAGTTGAACAGACTTTTGGATCGGATTCCATTCGACTTCCAAGGTACGACTGTATTAAAAGACAAGCCAGCTCATGGCTGCCGGCTCACAGTCAAATAGGCACAGCAGAGAAGGAAAACGGAATGGGGAGGGAAGAGGAAGGCAAGCATTGGAGCAGCTGTTCATGCACTGGCTGATGGATGGAGCCAGGACGCGGACTCCAGTGCTGTGATGGTTGTGTGTGTGTGCCGTGGCCCCTTGGCCTTCTGGTCAGTGGAAGAGACCACTTTAGCTCTGCTGGTTCAGTTATGAGGAGATGCACCTTGTCGTGTGTGCTACAGTATGAAACAGAAGCAGATAGAGAGGAGACCATCCACATGGAGTAGATCAGCCTTCCCCAACTTGGTTTTCTCTGCATGTTTTGGACCAGACTTCCCATCAGACCCTGTTGGGTTTCCTGAAATCTATTTGGGAGTTTATGCAAGGGAGACATTGCTTCCTTCCCTGCAAGTCCCCAGCATCTGCTGGGTGCCAGTTTCCCAGAACTCTTCTGTGGCTATTAGCCTTGTGCAGTTGGCATAGCTGCAGGAGGTCTAGACTTCGGAGACTTTGCATGAGCCAACATTTGTGTCTGATTAGCGTTATTTACTTTGGCTGAGGGAGGCTCTGAGCTGCTGCAAGCTTGAGATGTCCTCTGGCGATAGTCGCAGCATCCGTGTGCTCCCAGTATCAAGTGACTGGAATCGCAACTCGGGCTTCCTGCTCTGTGTATGCTAATTTAGCAGTGTGAGGTCACAGCTATATTTATCTCGGCTATATAAGTCTAACCAAATAACCTGAAGTGCCTGAAGAGTCACAAACCGAGCCCCGGGTATATACCGAGCAAAACCAAGCAGGCTGCGACCTTTTGTGGCTTGTTGACTAAAATAATATTGTCGTAGTTCTCTGTGTCTGGGTGACATCCAGGTTAGGTTACTGCATTATATGCTGCTCTCTGAGCCTGCTTGGAAACTTGTAGCTTGTCCAGAATATGGCCCAGCAATTGTGATCCTATCGCACTGGTTGAATTGGCACCCTGGCTTTATTCCAGAGCTGTTAACCATGGTTTCCTGGTTTGGATAAAGCAGGGAACCGTAGTTTATGCAAAAACCTTGCAAAATGTGCCTTTGTGCAGTCAAATGGCTTGTCTGTATCTCCGCTGAGCCAAGAGATGATAATTGAAACTCGTCTGTTGTGTTGCATGTTACTGGCATAAACTGCTTGAAGATCACTGGTGTTTGGTGTGCTCACCAGTGCTAGGGAGGGGACTATTCTCACAAGGGCTTGTGCCTGCGTAGGGCTGGTGGCAGGAACAATGGTCAGCCTGGATAGCTCACCTGGTGAGAGCCTGGTGCTGATAACGCCAAGGCTGCAGGTTCGATCTCCGTACGGGACAGCTGCATATTCCTGCCTTGCAGGGGGTTGGACTAGGCGCAGCGGTTCTCAACCGGTGGGTCCCCAGATGTTGTTGGACTACAACTCCCATCATCCCCGAGCTCTGGCCTTGCTAGCTAGGGGTGATGGGAGTTGTAGTTCAACAACAACTGGGGAGCCAGTTTGGGTAAAAAGGTGGAGGCAACAACAAGGTGTGTTTGGGGTGGGGATTGCCAGTGGCTAAGCAAAAGCCAACCATTATGGGATGGCAGTCGCTGCAGTCACCGCTTGCATGGGCCCCCAACGAGATCAGCCCTAGGAACTCTTACTAGCTTGGTGAGATATTCCTTTTGTGTTAACTTACTTCAGCCTAATCCTGACCGTGTCTGCTCAGAAGTTGAGTTCAGTGGGGTTTCCTGCCAGGTGAGTGGGATTAGGGTTGCGGTGCCCGAGGGGCCCCTGAGTTCTGGGACTGGATTATACCTGGTTTTCTTTCCCTGATATTTCTAGTACTCCCTTATCTGTTCAGCAGCTTGCCTTTTAAAGACAGATTTGCATAAGCAGCAGCACAGTCCCACCCCCATACTGAAATGAGTAGCTTCCATAGAGATTTCTTTCCATGCACTTCGACTGCCTTCCCTTTTCAGGGTTTGTGACAGTGCCGGAAAGCCTTTCCTTATTCTTGTGCAAGGAGAGCAGAGATACAGGACTTGAAGCAGCGCAAATCTTGCCAGCAGCTTCACTTTTCACAGAGCAAGGCTGACAGTCGTGTATGATTCTGTCACTGTAGCATTGCTGTTCCATCCTCCTTCGTTCTTGGCCCAGGTGACATTTTCCTTTGCAGGGCAAATACATACATACCTTGAGATCTCAGGGTGTTTTAAGTGACTAGCTGGCCCAATAAAAGCTCTTGTCTCTCTTCCAAATGCCGTGAGATTTGCAATAATCTCCCAGTATCCTTGGCTTGCTCTGAGCTGCGTTTTGCATAATCCCCATGGATTACCAGGAGGTGGAAGCCAGGCCGCATCCTGGTTCCTATCAACCAGCTACAGTTTCTCAAAGCACTTAGCAGTGCTAAGGAGGCCTGGCTGCCATGCTCCTTGGCTCAGCAGCTGTTGACAGCAGGTCTCCTCCTCTTTAGTGTCTGAGCACCTTGATGGCTGTGGCAGACTTGCTGCTCCTCCTGTGCTCTGGCAAAGGCCCCTGGCGGGCGCTGCTTCCAACCACTAGGCGGCACTGTCTGCTGATGGATGAGCTCCTGCTTGGAACAGCTGCACTTTATTAAAAAGGAGGAGGCAGCTTTGCCTTTTTGCAAGGAACTTTGAATGCAAATAGCTCCCCTCTGCCTTTAGAGAAAATTGGAAAATTAGGGAGAATGATGTGTGAGGGCTCCCTCTCCCTTCCTCCGACAGTGAGGGGATCACAATGCATTTTTAAAGGAACGCTTAGCTGGCATTCTGCTTCTGCACCATAGCTGTGGAAGCCATATTAGATATCCAGCATGCCAGGAAGAAGTACATTTAGGGGGATGGGCTGGAAGCAAAGCAGGGGAATGAGACAGAGGAAAGAAGAAGACAACGTCTTGTGCTTCCTGTAAAAATCTCAGAAGAGAATCATGTTCAGTTTCATAAAAGTGCACACACACAGTCCATGAGGCTGATCCAATGTGTTTTGGGGTGCTTGTGGTGGAAAAATCCAAGTTATCCCCTTCAAGACACAGGTCAAACGTGGGGTTCCCAAAGCAATTTAATCTGCCCTGCAACCCTACCAAATCCTTATATGTGTGGTTCTTCCTCCTCCTCCAAAAATTGAGGTTGGCTTCCTTCATGAGGGAAAGCATAATGTTTTCAGAAGTTGCAAAAAATTAGGGCATGCTATGCTTGATGCCATACAGCTGTTCCTATGTTTTGAAGCCCCTCACAGCTCAGTGGCACTGACTGATAAGAATTGCCCACCTGGCTCAGCTCAGCAAATGTTTCATTGCTATCCTTCCCTTTCCTGCAAAGAGCTCAGGGTTCTCCCCTCCCCATCCTCACAACAACCCTTTGAGGGAGTGAGCGACTAGCCTGGCTTCATGGCTTGAGTGGAGATTTGAACCCTGGCTGCTCAGGTCCTGGCCCAGCCCTCTATCCGCTGCACCACGCTGCCCCTTGCACTGCTTCTGTCCGTTTCCACAAGGTTTTGCGGGAGAGTTCTTCAGCACCACGCTGAGCTCAGCCACCCAGGCTCTGGGGCATTCAGTCCTAGAGTAGCGAGTGCCGGCAGCCCCCGAAACCCCACAGCATGGCTCTCTCAGGGCCCTCTGTCACAAATCCCGAAACTGTCTTGCGGTGCTGAGTCCGGCCATTGTCTCTCTCCTGCAGCCGCCTGGGGAGGCCTGGTGGTTCAAGTTAGCGCGTTGGCTGGGAAACCAGCCTCTCGTTTCCATGTGGGTTTGCTCATTAAGGCTGCCTCCCTGCCTGCCTCCCCCCCCCCCCGCTCTGGAACAGCAAGCAGCCCTTTCCCATCACCCACCAAACCGATGCAAACCTCTGGGTGGGCGGACTTGATTCTGCATGAGGAGCCCACAGGTGGCAAAGGAGGGGCCCACTGGGCTGGCTGTGTGTGGTAGGAACCCGCCCCCCCCATTCCACAGACACACACCAGGGATGGGGGGAGCCTTTTTGGCCCAGCAGGCCAGATCTTTCTCTTCCCCCACTGACCTTCTGTGGGGGCAAGGCAGACAGGGACGAAGCACCACCAGCTGCTGCTGTTGGGGGGCTCAGCCATGCTTTCTGCAGGGATCGGGTGCACCAGAAAGGGGGGCCTGGCTGTGGATTTGGGGAAACTGCCTGGTGGGCCAAATGGGGAGGCCTGGACGGCCAAATTCACCTTATGGGCTGGAGGTTCTCCATCCCTGCCATACAGATAAAACCTTTCCAAAGCACGGGGGGGTGGGGGGTGGAGAAATACACAGGTGGAGCTTAAATGAAGATTGAGCGCCTTCTTGCTTCCTCCAATTGCGGCTGATGCCCAGCATCTCAAGGGCTGCCCTGTGAACCGATTCTGTCTTCAGATGTCCTTGCTGGTGCCCCTGCCTTTGGAGGGAAAGTGGGTCGTGACCAAGGATTGAGCCTTCTCGGTGGTGGCACCCTCTTTGTGCAGTTATCTCCCTAGAGAGGCCCCTATGGCATTGAGTCTAGTGTCACCCTAGTACCCGGGGAGGATAGGTGTGTTTATCAGTCTTTTCAGTCGGTTTCATGCTGCCGGCCTCTTTACTCAGTGCCACTTCTTTTTTTCAAGCGTTCTTTTTGTCTTTTGTATTTCTGTGTTGCCTGCAAAATGCCTTCAGCACTGCTTATTTGTCTGCTTGCCTTTTTTAAAAAAATGTCATTATCACTGGTGTCTTCCTGCTGCTTAATGTGGTGATCTCACTCTCCAGGAAACCTGCAGGAAATGCCAGGGCCTCTGGAAGGAGCATATGAACCTCACCTGTGAGCAGCTGGCCGAGAAGGATGACATAAAATACCGAACATCTATGTAAGTAGCTTTGTGAAGGGCGGGGAGAACCAGGAAGCCTTTTTTTTAGTTTTTTATTTAAGCCAGTCCAGAAAGTACTTGCTACTGAGCCTCCTTGGCAAGAGGGCTTTTGTGCTTCAGGATATATCCAAGAATCATAGAATGGTGGAGTTGGAAGGGACCCCAGGGTCATCTAGTCCAACCCCATGGAATGCAGGAATCTCAACTAAAGCATCCAGCACATCTAGATGGCCATCCAAGCTCTGCTTAAAAACCTCCCAGGAAGGGGAGTCCACAACTTCCTGAGGGAGGCCGTTCCACTGTGGAGCAGCTCTTACTGTCAAAATGTTCTTTGTGATATTGAGCTGAAATCTCCTCTCTTGTAACTTGAAGCCATGCGTTCGAGTCCTGCACTCCAGAGCAGGAGAAAACAAGCTTGCTCCCTCTTCCATGTGACAGCCCTTGAGATATTTGAAGAGGGCTATCCTTTCTCCTCTCAGCCTCCTCTTTTCCTGGCTAAACCTGCCCAGCTCCCTCGAGGTATCTGCTTTTATGCACTCTGAAAGAGCAAACCTCTGGGTGCAGGACAGCCAGGGGAGAGCTGCTTTGCATATATAGTTTTAATATAGTTTCTTATCCTTGAGCAGCTGAAATTCTACTCTTGTTGCAGACAATAAAACGTCCCGTTTGAGTCTTGGGAAGGGGAAGCGCAGCTGGAGTTCAGGCCCAGCTTCCTGCTCTGCTTGGCGCTTCCTGCTGGGAAGATGAGAGGGAGCAGCCCAGAAAATGGGGAGCAGGGTCTGCCTCTGGCTGGTTTACTGTCTGCCCTAAGGGCAAGCACAGTTCCCAAAGAGGAATTTGAAATGGGAAAACTGGGAAATCAAAGAGGCGATAAAAATACAGTGTTACACCCTGCAGCATCTAGCACAGCGCATTACGGTTGCAACAACAGGCAGGAAGATCATTAAGAGAGCTGCCAAGACCCTCAGTGATTTTCAAGTGGTTTGGGGATGTGGGAGTTTGGAGCCACCAAACTAAGACATGGGTGTGAGAGGCTCTTCGCAGAGATCCAGGAATAGCAGGATGGGTCTCACCTCTTTCAGTCACAGAGCCAAGGTCCAAAGGCACGTGATGCAGACATAGAATCATCTTCCTGAAGTGAAGGTCAGTCTGGTCAGTGCCTGGACAGGACTGCAAAGCCTCCCTGTGGTGTCTTGAGTCGTCGTCTTCTTCTTTGGTGATCCCTCATAGCTGAGTAAGATTGTCTTCCATAAACATGGTTTTAACAATGAGTCCGTAAGTGACTCTGGATCCACACGTCCTTCCACAGTGGGGACATTGGTTTCTGGGCGGGGGTTGATCACGGTGTGGATTTGCCAGGCATGCCTTCCTCTTAGCACGTTTCTCCCTTGCGTCCTGAGTTTGAGTGTCTTCAAAGCCCATGACGCCTTTGGTCAAGGCTGTTCTCCAATTGGAGCGCTCGCAGGCCAGTGTTTCCCAGTTGTCGGTGTTTATACTACATTTTTAAAGATTTGCCTTGAGAGAGTCTCTAAACCTCTTTTGTTGACCACCAGCACTACGCTTTCCATTTTTAAAGTTCAGAATAGAGCAGTTGCTGTCTTGAGCACCATGTTGAGAGAGGTGCAAGGTATAAAATGTAATATTTGTCCGGTGGGAGGGAAAAGTCTGCAGTTGAAACCGTGCGATGTAAACTAAGGATCTTCAGAAGGCATCCTTGGATACTGGGCTGTGTTGTGGGAAGGAAAACAAAATGTAGGTGCTCTGTTATATAACTTGTAAACATCATCAGAAGCACAGAGTGATTAAAGTGCTGGTGCAATGCTTTAACTTGTGTGGGGAAAGCTTAAAACTATTGTCAGGCCCTAAACATCTCCTGTTTGCAGAACAGAATAGTTAGCAATCCTTTTGCAGCATCTCTGTAACCAAAGCAACAGGCTCTGATTTATAAAAGGCATCAAGCAACAGTGCAGAGTTTGCATTTCCTGCTTCTTTCATTACTTCAGCTATATATTTTCTGCTTGTCAGAGGTGAGGGGCTGTGTGTGCTTTGACTCCTGGGTTAAATTATTTCTGCATTAACGTTTAGCTCCCCCACCTCTTTGACGCTCTGGGAAACCAGATTTAAGCCTGCAGAATGCCAGCCTGCAATGAACCTCCTTTCACTTAATTTGTCTCCAACTCATCATAAGGTAATTCTAAATAGACAGCCACAAAGACCTCCTTGGAAACAGCATGGGAGGGGTGGGCTTCATACCCCCCCTTCCTGGGAAAGAGCCTGTTCAGGATGGCAGGGTGCTATTGAAATGGTTGCTAAAGAATGGGTGTGTGTGTGTGTGTGTGTGTTCATCTATGTGGAGACTCTGAAGGCAAGTGTGCGACACCCAGGCCCATAGATCTCTCATCAAGCAAAGAACAAGAGCACTCACTAACACGCATCTAAACAAATGTATGAATAATTATATTATTGTGATTTGATATGGGCTGTCACCATTTGAAGAAATGTTAGCTGATGAAGTCTGGATCAATGAACGATGCAGTTCTCTACATGCCTACTCAGAATTCATTGGGATTTAGTTTGCATATGACCAAACATCATAGCTTTGAAGGGATGGACGTTTTCTTCTTAGAGGAGTGTGTGTGTGTGTGTGTGTGTGTGTGTGTGTGTGTGTGTGTGTCTATCTCAGCAGCCACCTGCATGACAGTGATGGGAAACACCTCATCTGAAATGACACCTGCCACCTTCTGTTTATAAGAAAATCCTTATTTAAAAATTGTGTGCAGTGGATGAAGTGTTCTCTAGCCCGCCAAACACAAAAGCTGATGCCATAATTCATTAAGGATATTGGCAAGCTGGACGGTGTGCAGAGGAGGGCGACCAAGATGATCCAGGTCTGGAAAGCGAGCCTTATGAGGAACGGTTGAAGGAGCCTGGGAAAGAGGAGGCTGAGAGGGGATACGATAGCCATCTTCAAATATCTGACGTGCTGCCACATTGTTTTCACCTGGCTTTTTTTTTTAACCCTTTCCCAATTGCCTCATTGCAGAGAAGAGAAGATGACAGCGGCCCGCATCCGAAAGTGCCACAAGTGCGCCACCGGCCTGATCAAATCCGAAGGCTGCAACCGCATGTCATGCCGCTGTGGCGCCCAGATGTGCTACCTCTGCCGAGCCGCCATTAATGGGTACGACCACTTCTGCCAACACCCCCGATCCCCAGGGGCCCCTTGTCAAGACTGTGCCAAGTGTTCCCTCTGGACAGACCCCACGGTAAGTGACTCCAATAGACACAAGTGGCTCTGCTTCCCCTGACTGCTCTCCTGCGCGGATTCAGGAGCAGAGCATTCTAGGAGCAGCTTGCGGTAAAATCACAAGTGACCTCTGGCCCTGTCCTTTGGGTGTGCCATGCCTTCGCCTCCAAGGCGGAGCTTCCTGTGGCAATATATGCATACAAATCAGAGTGGCAGCTTGATTTTATTATCCGGCTTATAGCTTAATAACCAGTGAACATTTAAATGCACCTGCATGCTGCCAGCTCTCAGTACTGGCGCCCTCTTTGAGATTGCGTTGCAAGCGTGAGAGAACTTACAATTTAGGAAACGTATCATAGGATCGTTGTTGGAAGGAGAGGCCATTTTAACACCTTCCTTTTCCTGCTGCAGTGATGTGATGGAACCAAAGTAGCCTCTGAGAACAAGCAGAGTCCACCGTGTGGCTCAGCATCCCAGCATATCGCCCATTCATTGACTAAGGTGGCGAGTTTTCTAACTCTTCATAGAGCTCTTTAGTTTTTCTGCCATAGAACCCCAGTGGACGATTAAGGATTCTGGAGAGAGTTGTCTGGGCCACACTCTGTTTGCAGAGAGCGCTGTCCCACACCTGCTGGAACTCCCAGTCCTGAATCCAGTGTTATCCATCCGCCTGGTCTCAGGGCGGTTCACAAAAAAGATAATATATAAAATAAAAATAAAAACAATAATCCAATAGTGCCCCCCACAAAAAGAGCCACATTTTAAAAGGGCATAGGATGTAAATTGGATCAACCTAAGGCCTGGTTAAAAAGGAACGTTTTTGCCTGGTGCCAACCTAAATGAAGGCGCCAGGCAAACTTCCCTAGGGAGAGCATTCCACAGACAGGGAGCCACTGCAGAGAAGGCCCCGTTCTTGTGTTGCCACCCTCCGGACCTCTCTTCCACAAGCACCTTCCTTATTCTTTCTTTGTCTTACTGTGGCACAATGTCCAAGGCACAGCAAGAAGGCTTCCGCTGCCCAGCACAAGAGTCCACAGAGCCATGTACTAATGCGTTTCCACACGCCACTTAAGCCAGCTCCTTCCCCAAAGAGGCTTGCCTTGCCTTCCATAGGTTGCAGTCCATCTCCCTGCTGGTTCTTGGCCATGAGCAAGCTGCCTGTGCCTCCGTGCAGGAGCTCTCCCTTCTACGGGGGGCTTCATCCCCCCCTTCCGCCCCGCCCTGCTTGCTGACTCCATTCCAGCCCTGTACTCTCTCCCTCCTCTAGCTTTGCCTCTTGTTACTCAGGCGCTCCCTGACTAAGCTGGGAATGATTTGAAAGGAGCTCTTCTCCCTCCCTTCCCCCTCCTGGAAGTGTCTGCCTCATGAAATCATTTCAGAGCTTATTGGGAACGGCTGTGCCTGCACATGCATGAAAAAGGAAGCCCTTTTATTAATATTTCTTCAAAAATGGGGAGGGGGGGATGCATTGCAAATGGAGAAACCAGCTCCCAGTAACTCTTTTTAAAATGCCAAAAAAATATTTCTCCACCCTAAAATAATTAGCCAGTCTCTCCCTCTTCCCTCCCATCTTTTGGTGATGTTGCTGCACTGGACAAAAATCCCCTATAGAAATATTCTGTGATTGCATTTTTTATTTTATTTTTTGAACTCTGTGCTGGTTGAGAATGTCTCCTTCCTGTCTGGCCCCTTTCCCCTTTCCCAACACTCCACGTTTTCTTTCGCTTAGCTGGAACTACTGAAGCAGGGAAACAAAAATAGATGCATTTTGTTTCCCTTCCACTCCAGCGGAAAGGAGTGCAGTGATCCAGCAGCATGCACCCAATTTCCTGCAAGGGGGGAGCACATCCCGTGCCCCATCCTCTGGGGTGAGCTTTGCCGGGGGGTGGGTGTTGTAGCATCCCAATTCCAGATGCAGCTCTGAGAAGAGGCCAGCCCTCCTGACACCACCAAGACACCAAGCACATCCCTCCCTCCAGTAGCTTCCGCTACCGAGTTGGTTAAAAGGGGATAATCAATAGAATGGTGGTAATGCATTTCAGTGAACAGATTATTTAACCGATTTAAAGGGCTCTTTAAGTAGCATAAAGCCATTGAAGCGGCGAAGAAGGTAAAAGCAGAATAAAGCACAAGTTCTAAAACCAATAAAATGGTTCCCGTAAGCTCTAAAAACAATGCAACCATATTTCCAAATTCTAAAGACCATTAAACGTTTCCATCAGCTGTGCAGTTGTTCCGTAAATGGCGGGAGGGGAGGCTGACTCGGCATTCAGGATTCCTTCCATTTTCATTGTGGGCAAGACTTAATGACATCTCAGCAGACAGACAGTTGCTAAATGAAATCCCCGTTGCTTAGGAGCAGGGCTATTGTGCTCTGTGCAGCAGCCTGCATTACCTATAGCTAGCAACACCAGGCTAAACTACGCAACCTTAGCACACACATGCAGATTTGCTTGATTTGCGTGATTTATGCAAGGTACAGAGTCCCTCCTTTTCTCTCCGCAAGGGCTGGGTTGGGTTTAACTCTGTGCAGAATGTTAATCGTTGGTGCAGCTTCTCTGCATGGTCCCCGTTGCTTTTGCAGTGCATAAAGAACAGGAAGACCCAAAGAACAGAGAGAGGAAATGAAGATACAGTTAAGCCCCAAAGTGTAATGCGTTTGTGTGTGTGATAGCAGAAGATAGAACATGGGTTGAAAATCTCTTTCAGTCTATTAGCCTTTTCCAATTCCGCCCACTGAATTCAGCGTTCTTGGGAAAAGCAATTGCAACCCCCACCCCCTGGAAATTTACTCATAACCTTCATGTGCATAACTGGCCGGTGGAAGTTATTTCACCTATTTTTGCTGGTAGAGTGTTAGCTGTAAGCACAACCTGTTTTTTATGCCGTAAATTATACAAAATGTTCAAACAGTGTGCAATAAATATACACTTAACAAGGGTGAGAATGGAATATTTTGCTCAGATTCCCAGGGCAAAGCAGAATAAACACCACTTGAGTATGGTAAACATGAGCTTTTGCTAGCCATGTTCTTTGAATACAGTACAGTACTATTTTCATATTTTTGAGTCTTGTTTATGCACTGCTATCTTGGGACCCAATTATATTTTGGCATGCTCAGGCAGAGGCAATTTACAGGGGGAAGAAAACTTGTGTGAATTCTTAAGTTGCAGTTTCTGGGCTGGGATAAAGCTTTGCCAGGAATGCCGTCCTTCATTCTGCACCCTCAGCAGGCAGAAACATTGGCATTTTCACTGTGCCCCCTATATATGTGTCAGGCCTTAATACCACCATGTGTGCAGCTGCTTTGCTCCTTTGTCCCCTCCCAGGCTTCCCCCAATTTCTCTTTAAAGTATGCAAATCCCAGCTCTGGCCAGGGAGGGCAGGGTATAAATAATAATAACTATTATTATTATTATTATTATTATTATTATTATTATTAGCAAATCCACAAGCTTCCAGGAAAACCATACAGTGTGGCTGCAGCTGGGGATTCTCCCCATGGTGGCTTCAGTGGGGAGCTGACAGAGTCCGTCCCCCCCCCCCACTCTGAGCCTGCAGCTGGCTCCCAGTCACACCTGCGCAATCCCAGGTGACTTGCTCTGCGTTGCTCCAGCAGAACCTGACAAGATGCAGGCCTCCTACCTGTCACCACTGCATCACACCATTTCTCTAAGGAATTCAAAGTGGCAGGTCAGGGGCAGGAGGGAGCCACACGGTTTATCCTCACAAAAATCTTTCTAGGGGTTGTAGTCAGTCAGATCCAGCAGGGCTTATCCTATCTGATTTTGGGGGAAAGGGAATTTGAGGAAAGCAGCTGCCTGGCTCTGCTCTGCGTGTGTGTGTGTGTATGAGAGAGAAATGTCCTGTGTTGTTCTTCCAGTGGTACTGATGGGATTAATTCCAGAGTAGCACCAGCATTAGTCTGTTGAAACAGCAATAACAAAAATAATGCCGTTTTCTGTGGCACCTCTGCCATAACAGCACAGCCAAAGGCCATGACGAAGGAAGAGCTCTGGTCTGTGATATTTCACAAGCACAGTAATTGGCTATTTTGCTGCCCTCTTGTTCTCAGCTTTTGCTGTGTTAGCTTGTAGTGGGAGAAAAAATCTCTGCCCTTTAAATACCAAACTTGATTACGGTTCTCAGCTGGGATTAGTGCCTCAGGGGCACCTTCTCACACCCAGGATCAGGCCACGTGGCCCAAAGCGGGACGTTCGCCACCTACCCACTTGTAAAGCAGATGCGCGGTACGACTGGGTCAGGTGCTGGGTCAGAGTCGTGACTGCAAAGGCTTTCCTCGAGTGGCTGTCCACTAACAACGATCCATAGGGTCTCTGTTTTGGAAAGCCTTTTGGAGGCAGCCTGCTGACTCAGGAAAGAAATTGGAGTGAGGGCACCAGCCTTGCTGGACAGAAGACTTCTCCTCGCTGGTGGGATGTTGAGCTCCTCCCGCCAGAAAGCAGAACGGGGAAACTTGGCAGAGTTTCGAGATGTGCTGGGCTTCACCAGATTCAAATCTGGAAGCTGGCAAGCCTCCTGCATCCATCTATGTGTTATGCAAAGACAGCACATTTTGCAGGAGTGTCCCAGGGCGCTCTCCAAATCCAGAGCGTTTTCCACATTGGACGGGGGGGCGGGTGTGGAATACAGGAAGAGATTAAAAGGGGGAAATGAAAACAAGCTGTGCTGAAGTTCTTTGCATCTTGCAAGGCAGCCAAACTCTCCCTCCAACTAGTTCTGCAGTCTACATCTCTCTCTCTCACTTTCTGTCCCCCTGATCCTATGCTCTGCATAAATTTTTAAGATGTAACTTTGGGCATTCTTCCAAAATTGAGGTTTTTTGAGAACTTTGGAATGTGGGGACATGCAGAGGGGTGAGGTAGAGGAATGGAAAGAAAGGAAAACGGAGTAAGGATGGCCCTGTTTTGGAGAGAGTGTGCGGTCTAGGCTGGCAAGCAGTGTTGGCGATTGTGGCCGGTCCTATCGTTGGACAGAGTGAGGGTGAGGACTCTTTGTTTCCTGCCTGCCTTGGTTAATTCCCTTCTCCCAGCATATGTCGTAGGGGTTGCAGATGGGAGACGCCCCTGCCCAGCCAGCTGAGCAAGCAGGCAGAGAAATTCTGTGTGGCAGGAGCAGGAGCAGGAGCAGCAAACAACATTGTCGCTTGTCTTCACTTCCCCCACTGCCCTGCTCACAGTTGTGAAGAATATTCCTACATTACGAATGGTCCATTTCGCCATTAAAAAAAAGAGGTTGGAAGAGGCCAATATAGATGTGGAATGCCCCTAGATCAAGTGACTTTTCTTCTTTTAAGTTCTTCACCTAGCGCAAGGTTGTCATCTGCACCGGCCAGATGTTTAACTGAGAATCCATCACAGTCAGTCCATCATTTCAAAAATGAGGCTTTCAAGCCGTCTTGTCCCAAAATGGCAACTAGACCTTCCATTTTGGCGACCGCAACCTTGGATTCAGGAGCCATTTGGCGCCTAGTTTATAGATCTGAGTTTCTAGCTCTGCTCCTATTGAGCCTCTTAATCTGATTATTCAAGGCCTGCCTCCTCCATGGCAGGCAGCCTCTCCCAGGCAGCCCGGCTGTGGGGCTCTCTGGAGCTGGAGCTGCCCCCTGAACATTTCACGCTTGGGTGCCATTTAAAGGATTAGCATCGCTCCAGCTGCTCCTTGGCAGGGCTGGGGGGAGGCGCCGTTTGTTGCCATCTGCTTCCTCAGTCTTGCAAGCTTTGCGGCAGGATCAGTGTTCTGCCTGTAAGCGGCTTAGTCACGCTCCACGGTGTGGGTGAGGATTCGTGCAAGCGCACAGCAAGTTGTCAGCAGTGTGGCCGTGCACCTGCTGCTTGCCCCCCCCCCCAGTTTCAAATGCAGTCCAAGATGTTGCTGAAGGTCTTCGGCTGCACAGCCGGCCGTCTGCACCCGCAGCGCTGGAGAGGCGTCCACCCGAACCTCTTTTTCGTGGCAGCCGGGGCTTAGAGCGACCCGGCTGGCTGAAACGGTGCTCAGTTTCCACAGGACGTGGTTATTCGCTGCTTACCAAATTCAGATTCCTGCAAACCTCCTCCTCCGTCTCCTTTTCTTCGAATAAGGCCCTGGCCCTCAGGCCTCAAAGTGTCCGGGGTGATCTCGAGATCCAGATGCGGTCGCTGAGCACGATTTCTAATAATAGCCGGGGGAAATAATATAAACAGCAACACGCTGTTGCAGAATAAATGTATGCAAAATTGGCAGAAGTCTCTCGGGTTTGCATATTTCTGCACAATTTGCAGAATTCAGATTTTCTCACTGCAGATTTCGGCACAGAAATTTGATTTTCCTTCTTCGTCTGTTTGGGCGTTGAGAGAAAACAGCCACGCTGACGCTTTTGTTTGTTTCTGTCCTTTCTAGGAGGATGACGAGAAGATAATCCAGGAGATTCAGAAGGAAGCTGAAGAGGAGCAAAAGAGGAAAAACGGAGGTGGGTGGTGCCTCCCCCTCCCCCCTTAACAGGCAGAGCTCGATGGGGGTCCCTGGAGAACGGAGCAGCCCCAATTCCAAAAAGCGCTTTCTGCCTAAGCCCCATGATTACCCACACAAGACACTCTTGGCTGGTCGGCTGTCTGCCTGTTGGTTGATCTTGCAAACTTTAAATGAAAATGAGCTGGTAGTGTTTGCACAATTCAGCATCCTAGGGATATTCTGTAGCCTCAAGGGGTGTGTCGTAATCATCATCATCATCATTTATTTAACTTCTATACTGCCCTTCATCTGAGGATTGCAGAGCAGTTTAAAGTATAGAAACACAAGAATACATAACATAATGGGATAACCTCAGCTGCACTGCCTGAGTTTTGGCAGGCAAGTTTCAACCAGGCCTGTGTATGTGGCATGCAGGTCTTCTGCAGAAAAAGCAGAGTATTACAACCACTGTGGGGTTTTAGCCGAATGTTACATTTGGAGAAAAGAGTGAGAAGGGGGAATTCCAATGGCAAGTACAGTGGTACCTTGATATACAACCATAATCGATTCCGGAGGTCTGTTTGTAAACCAAAACAGGTAGTAACCCAAGGCGTGCTTTCACCAATGGGGCCTCCCAACATTTTTTTGTTCATAATCCCCCCCCCCCAAAAAAGGGTTGTAATCCAAAACGTATACAAACCAAGACGTATGCAAACCAAGGTACCACTGTAATACGTTTGTGTACGTTTGCTGTTCACCGAAATTACGTCTTTTAAAATTATATATGTGACATAGGGGAAACTGTTTTTTTTTAAATTATTATTAAATTGGCTCATTGCATGAGTTGATTGACTAAAATGCATCATGAGCAAAAGCAGGAAGCATGGGGGTTGCCTGCATCTCTTATAGCAGCGGTATTAGAAAATGGAGAATATCTTGTCTGGTGTTCTTTAAAGTTCTGTAGGATTTATACAGTTTTAAATCTGCTGCTCGCTTAATCATTGCACTTTTTAGATAACTCAAAAGGTTTTTCCAAACGAATTTCAATCCGAGCCAGCCTGGTTCTCCTCTAGCTGCTGCCGGACCCCTCAATTCTTCTGACTGCCATTGGCCCAGGGGCCCATAAACATCTGGGGGAGTCAGGCTGGCCCTTCCCTGCCCCCATCGCTTTAAAGGTTGAAGCTGATCTGCTGATTCTGCTGTTTACCTGCCCTCCACGTTGTTGTTCTCTTTCCTCCTCTAGAAAACAGTTTCAAGCGGATTGGGCCCCCGGCAGAGAAGCCTGCGGAGAAAATCCCGCGAATCGAAGCCATCCCCAGGCCGGTCCCGCAGAACCTCCACCACCAAATGCCCCCTTACCCGTTTGTGCACCCCGCCTACCCGCTGAACATGCCCCCCGTCCGCCCGCTCTACAACAACATTGGCCACATCAACATGGGGCCCATCCCTGCCCCTTACGTGCCCCCCTGCCCAACATGCGGGTGAACTACGACTTCCCCCAGGTGAACCTGCCGCTGGAGCACAACCTCCCGATGCACTTTGGCCCACAGCCGCGGCACCGGTTCTGACCCGGCTCGGGGCGGCGCCAGGACTTTGGGAAGTCTCTGCAGGGAAAGTCCACACACTGGCTGACGCAGCCCACCCCTTCCTCCCTTCTCCACTTTCCCAGTAAACTGCAAGCGCTGAACACGCTCCTGGGCGCCCCTCCGGTCTTCTCGTCCCCCAAGGCAAGATCAGCACCTTTGCTGCCCAGTCTCTGCTGCGGGAAGCGGAAGGGACGGGAGGCTCGCCCTGGCACCCTTTTGCTTCCGCTGCTCGTCTAGGAAGGAAGTTCTCCGCTCAGTGAGTGCAGGGGGCCTGTTTGGCAAGAGGCAGCGACGACTCGGACCCACGTGCCAAAAACACAGTTTCTCTTGCCTGCCCAAACGGCGCTGAGAGTGGGAAAGAATCAGGTAGGAGGTTCAGCTCCGGCCAGCTACAGATTTTGAGCGGTGTGGTTGACGGGCAAATTAAACCATTGATGGGAAACCCCCGAGGCAAGCAGAAGTTGGCAGAGGCCGTTGCAAACACCAGATTGGCAGCTTCTGTGGCCCTCAGGTCAGGAAGAAACCCCAGCAGAGCTCTTCCCACCACAACCATCTTGTGCCTTTGGCACAGGAGTCAGGCGGCGGGTTGCAGCCAACTAAGTCCTACTCAAGAGTAGACCCGTTGAAACCAGTGAACCTAAGTTGGCCGTGTCCATGAAGTTCAGTGGCTCCACTCTGAGCAGGACTCGCATTGGCTGCAACCCAGCCTTCCCAGACTCAGTGTGTTGGTGGGTCGGGCTTTTCAAAGAGATATCAGAGGCCTCTGATTCTTCCGAGGTGCCAAACTGAAGACTTGCTGTCACTCAGCACAGCTCAATGTAACGTGAGACCACATCTGTTTAAAATAAATGCAGCTTCCGTGGCTGGAACAGTTCTCAAGTGTGTGAGCCAAACCTCTGGTGCTGGGCCTAGGGCTTAGCAGTGCTATGGCTTTGGGGTGCGTTGCCCCTGTGACTGCTTCCTGCTGGGCTTTGCATTGCACATGGAAAGCCTTGTGGGTTGAATCCTGGTACAGCTGCAGGGAGGGCGGTGTGGGTGGTGACGTGTCTGGAATCCTTGGAAGGAACCGGGTGAGCGTCGGCTGGCTTCACAGGCGAGCCTCTGCCTCCTCTGGTGTTGTGGTCGGTGTGCTTTGCTGTTCGGGGTCTTCAGCATGTTGGGAGTACCTCTCGTTGACTTGTCTAGTTGTGGTCTGAAGCACTCTTGGGCATCTTGCAGGCTTGGAGGTCAAGGAATTCCCCCCTGCACACTTGAAAGGCATTTCCAGCTCCCAGAAGATCACAAAATTGCTCCTGCATACATGGAGCTGCACAAGGCCAGTGGAGCCCTCGTTAATTGGGGCAGGGCAGTCATGACCCAAGCGCTCCTGGGCGCTCTGCATATGTGCAAAGGCTTCCTTGGACTCTTGAGCCGCTGACCCACCGCACTCTGCTGTGGAAACCTTCAGCCTAAAGCTTTCCACTAAAGCTTTCCAGGCAGGGCTGGAAGAGGGTTTGTTGGTCTCCAGCTCCCATGCCCAGAGGGATGATGGGAGTTGTAGTCCAGCAGCCTCCGGAGGACCACAATGGATTCCCCACCCTTGGCTTAAGGGCTGTTTTGTACCAACGCCGGCAAATGCACAGCCGGTTGCAGCCTGTCCTTCAAAGGCTCCCATGTGCCTGAGCACTTCTGTGGAGTGAACTGACCTTCTGCATGACTTGCGGAACTCCAGAGCTCTGCAGTCCTGCCTCTGCTTCAAGGAGGGGTCTCCGTTGCCAGATATGGACCACGTCTCGCACAACGACATGTCAGGTCCATCCACACTCTAAGGCTTCTGTGCGGCAAGCGCAGCAGGAATGAGCACTGGATCACATCCTGTCCGCCTGACTTAACGCCAGCCGTTTGAAACAGTTTTTCCCCTCAAAACTATGAACATGGATGCTCTCATTTGCTAGGATTATGAGCAACTTACAGAAAATAACTCCAATGGAGAAGAATTTCCAACCACCCTTTTGCTTAATAATAAATACATTTCACACTTACTCTTTGAAATTCTGGGTCTGTTTTCCTTTTAAAAGTATTATGATAAAGCATCTTTGGGGTGGAGTGGGGGCGTGGAACCAGTTCTGAGTTGGGCTCTTCTCTCCCCCGACCTTCCCTTTTGACCTTCGTAGTCCTGGGACTATGGGGCACAGACAAAGCCAAATATGGCAGCTCCCCCCTTTCCCCTCTCTTCCTATGTTGGCCCCCCTCCCCCTTGAATGGAAGGGTGCTCATGGATTTGGGAGCTCCCTGCGTGAGCTCCACCAGGGCACTGAACACGGGCAAACCTTAAACCCTGAGAGGCAACCCAAAACAATTCTCCCAATAGCTTTGGGGGTGCTGTTGCCTCCTGCCCTCCCCTCTTCCCTTGCAATACGTACCCAAGCAGCACCACCTATTTATTTGGAAACTGATCTGTTTCAGTCCCTCCCACTCATTTTATTTGGTGCTCTCCTGGACTGCAACTCCAGCCTCACCTGATCATTGGCCAGGCTGGCTTGGGCCTAAGTCTATAACATCTGGAGGGCACCAAGTTGGGAATAGCTGAGGGAGTGTGTAACAAAAGTGAAACAATGACTCCTTTGCTGCAGAGAGAGAACAACTGCCTGTAGGACAGGTGTGCAGGGAGGGTGTGTGTGTGTGCTGCGGATGAATCTGGCAATACCTGCATTCCAAGTTCGTTCTGTGTAACCTATTGGCTTAATAGTTCCATTGCGTTGACTATTCCATGTTTGCCGTAGTTTAAAATCATGCTGTTTGTCGACACTGCTGCTCCTGTTCAGTGATTCTTAAAAGGGGTCAGGATACAGCTGGCCAAGTGCTCTTTGGTTGATTTCTCTTCAGGTTTTGACATTAGCACCTTAACTTTAAAACAAAAGATTATTTGATGTAGCAATTGCCGGACATGCAGGTGGTGCTGTGTTTGGAGAAAAGCGACATCAGCAGGGCTAGCTGTCAGGAGACAAAGGATGAGAGGACCGCTGGCGATGTTTTTGGAAAGCGTTGGGTGTGTGTGAGTGCATGCAGCAACCAGCTATGCATGAAAGAAACCCCTCTTGTATCACAGCTGTAGACAGAGAGGTGACCTGTGGGTGCCATCCTGCGGTTTAATTGATAAGAGAAGCTGCTTCTGAAAGTGCTTGGTGTTGGTGCATCGCTCCCAGTTTGTCCACTGGCACTGCCTTTCCAGGATTGCTTCTGCAGTGTGCATGAGGTTCCCATGGACTAAAGCCCAGTGGCATTGAATCTTCCCCCAGTCACTTTGGCTCCCCTTCCGTGGGTCTCGCTGGGAGGAGAAGCTCCTGCGCGCTCGGAGCTCTGGGCCAGGTCCACATTCTGTGCAGCAGGCACAATTTCCCCGGGGGGGGGCAGCGTCCCCCAGGTTGCAGATGAAGCACGGGTGGCCTTCCTGCCTACCGGCCCATTCATGTGCACATGGACAGTTGTGCCAGGATATCCGGACGCTTTGTCCATGTGTGTCTAAAGATGCGGGTGAGGACCTTGCATCCCTTTTTGTCTTGGGGAATTCTGATGCGCTCACAGTGGTTGTGTTGGCTGTGCAGAGTGTGGGGCTCCCCAGAGTGGCCAGTGCTCAGAGGCAAAGCTCAACTTCTGGCAAGGAGCTTGACGTTTTTGCCAACCTAGACTTCAGAATCGCCCTGGCATGTGCAAGGTGCCTTTACCAAGATGGTTAGAGCCTTCCTAACGCTGACCGATCAGATCCTTGCACGCCAAAAGCAGGTCCTAACAATGGTGTTTCCCTATTGTTAAGCTACTGTGCTCTCTTCCCCTTTGCTCACATGAAGTTTACCATTTGTTATCTCTAAACCGTAGCATTTTGGAAGGTCCTTGTGGATGTTTGTACTTGAGTGAAGGTAGTTGGGAGCAGGCAGAGGTCCAGTTGAAGCTGGCTGCTGTTGCCTTAGTGCGACTGGAGACCTTTCATTGCAGTTTGCTGGACCCGTGAGGCCCTTGGCCCTTCACCATCTCCCCATTTTCTGTGCTGACTCTTGTTCATAGCCTCCATTCATTTCAGGCTGCTTCCTGTAGAGATGGAGACTTGGGTGGCGGCAGCTCCTGTTAGCCAGAGATTGGAAGCTCAGCTGTTGCTGTTCTTCATATCCAGTGGATTTCAAAAGCCATTTAGCATGGATGGGATGGCCTATTCCTCCACCCCCACGCCATCCCCACTTGGTGCCCCTTTCAATGAGGTTTTTTATTTGGCCAGGGGTCCTCCTCTTTGCATAGACAATATACTGAAGAAAGATACCCGCCCAAGCTGAATGGCTCCTTAGCCTCTGCCTCCCATCATTCTGGTGCTCTGAGTAAAATAATTCTTTAAGCGGGGATAATCCACTTCTTGTGAAATCGAGGCATTTTGACTGAAAGGACGGTGCCTTTTTTACCGCATCTGAAACTGAAACACTCTTTCCTCATTCTTTGCCTGCCGACGAGCAATGGAGAAAACCTCTTGGGGTCCATACTGACTTAAAACATGATTTTACACATCATTTTGATGTGTAAGCCTGAAGCAAAGACCTCCTTAGCCTATGATCGTGAACAGAGATGCCAAGGTCCAGCTCCTGGCACTTCTTGAGCAGCCTTGTTCAATTGCCTCAACCCCCCCCCCCCCAGTGGAAGCGTCCCCTTGAGCATTTCGCCTTTCTCCTTGCAACTTCTTGTTTGGGGTTGCGCGACTGCGTCCTAAACAATGAGCCCCCCCATCCCTTGAAGGGGGTTTTGGTCCTCGGTTCCTTCCCGTGTTAACACCACGTTGGGGAGAAAGGGCAGCCATCTGCAGGGAAGAGGCCCCTAGGTGGCCAGGATTTCCTTTCTTGCAGGTATTCCAGGATGAATCCTAACTTCAGATATATGTTGGTTGCCTTTTCCAAGTTTCGCATGGGGAGAGCATCGCCTCTTTGCGAGGGGTTTTCTGAACTTCGGCCAGGGAAACTTTACCAAACCTGTGTGTCTGACATGGGAGAGCGTTGCCCCTGTGCTGTGACGTAGCGTAAAGGCCGGCTTCTCACTGCAGTGCTGTGCTTCTGTTCAGGCCGCACCACCTGGCTATGCAGGTGAGGCCTCTCATGACAGAACGCTTCTCTGCTCAATTTTTTTCAAAAAAATCCTTGCACGCATAAAGCTAGCAAGCACAAGGATTCTGGTGTGGCCACTTCCCCCTGCCGTGATATTTTCCTTCATAGGGGGATTTTTAAAAAATAGCCTGAAGAGGTCCAGCCCGGAAACAACCGCTGCACTGCGAACTAGGACGGTTTAGCATGGGTAACATTGAAGTCCCTTGAGCTTGAGCCAGGCTTCCTGGACAGGGTGCCCTCCTGTTGTTCTGCACTACAACTCCCATCAGCCCCAGCTAGTACAGCTGTGATGAGTATACAATATGGCCCTCCTGGCTGCGCATTGTGGTGCAAAACATCTGGCTAGGCAGCAGTTAGCAAAGGCTGCTGTCAACATGCCCCTGTGGGCTCCAGGTTCTCACGACCTCCTCTCTTCTTTTGTATTTGCATTTTCCTTTGTGGCTTTTTTTTTTTAATTAAAAAAAAGTTCATCTCTCTTTACGGGTAGACACAGGGAAGTGTGTATTTTGTACACCCCAAGCTTGACATTTTAACAGGTACTTTCTATTATCAAATTTGCAGTGTCACATTTAACTTGCCTTAAAAGGTGGAGAGAGAAATCTAGTATTTGCACTTCGCAAAAAAAGAAAAGAAATGGAGAAAAAAGAGCAAACCCTATTGAGGGAAAATTGTGCATGTCCTGCAACTTTGTATAACAATAGCTTAAAAACGAATAAGTGGTTTATTAATAAAGAAAGGAAAAAAGAATATTTTTTCTTTACCTTCTGGTAGGAAACCGTTCTAATATTCTGTGTGTAAAAAGTCTCTGTATTATATTGTAATTTGAATTTTTTGTAATTAAAACAACAACCTTGTGCACTCTCATTGCGTGGCTGTTTCTCCCCCCCCCCCCCGGCTTCTGGTTTCCTCCACACCTTTTGTTGTTTGTGGTTATAGGTGGCAAAGCATCTGAACAGCCGCTGCAAGAAGACGACGCTGGACAAGGTGGGCCATTGGTCTGATCCAAGAGACTCTTCCTCTGAAATCCTGTAGCTTCTTACACGGGAAATGTTCTGGGTTATTTTCATCCTGATTTCCTCTTGCCATGACTCCTCTGGAGAGCAACAGTGCCATAGTGGAACAAAGCAGGATAAATCTGCCATGGGTGCCCTATCACTGTGCCAATGTGTTGCAGAAGATACCCATAATATAACCATAATAACCAGGGTGTTTGCAGAGTAGAGTTCTTCTGATTCCACCCCTAAACGCCAGTCCTAAATCCCAACTCCCAGCACTGAAATCTCTCCATGTGATGCAGTTCATGTCATTTGGAGGGTTAGATTATTCATTTTTAAAGGCAAATCTCTTTCTCCCTGCCTCACCAGGTGGGGAATTCTGACGCACCCTCCTTTGCAAGAATTGGAGAGGGCCGGGGATCTGCTCACTCGCCTTGGTTTGCCAGTGTAGGGTAAAGAGCAATAGGTTGTAACGTGGCCTTTCCTTCCCCACGAGGAAAGAGATCTGCCCCCATTAAATGGATGTGCAGCTGTGTGTGTGGATGAGTGACAGGCACATCCAGCAAGATTAGCTCAAAGGGCAGGAGCATCCTGCATCCCTCCTCCTCACCCCCCCCCCCGTCAGCCACCCCCCCCCACCTTGCCTTCAACTCTGACAGCCTGATCCTCTGCATAATACGACTGGAGAGAGCTTATTTCAGGGTCTCTCCTCCATCAGCCCTGTTTTGATTTCCTCCAGCGTCTCTTCGAACTAGGAAGCAAGACCCCAGATTTACCAGGTTTGTTCAAATAAGCAAAAATGACAGTTGCAAACAGATCTGCGTATCAGGAGGAACTCAATGAATTTTCACGGAGGCTTTTGTGCTTTAATTTGCAAATTGATTTGAAAATGGACAGCTCTGTTGCTCCTTCCTCTTAACAGGAGTGGCACACATCCCCGCCCCCCTCCTGACATGTCAGTTTTAGCCAGATCTGTGGGTTGCTGGAGCCTCCACTGCTGCCGAAAGCGTTTCCTTTGTGTGGAGGAGAAAGGCCTGTCTGGGCCCAAGCAGGGCAGGGGGTTGGGGGGCTGCTGCCTTTCTTCCTGCCTTTCTCTCCCTGACCTCTTCAAATAAAGGAGGTGGGGGTGGGGGAGGTGAAGGGAAAAGAGGAGGGAGGACAAGCCAAGCCCCCCCCAGCTGCTATTCAGAGCCAAGGTGTCCCCCTCCCTCCTTCCTTGCAGCATCAAAGCGTCAGGCGGCCCCTCTCCATGGTCAGAGACCCTTCCCCTCTTCAAGAGAAGAGGGCCAGAGTTCAGCTTCGCTGCCTTGGAAAAGGGGGTGAGGGGGGCGAGATGCAAACTCCATGAACTGAGTGCTGGGGACAGGAGAGGTGGAGAGGGCAAAGGCCGCCTCTCTTGCCTGGCTAGGATAGGGAGATGTGAAAGGAGCCGGCCTTCATCTTCATTTTGAACAATCTTTTCCTCACCTTATTTCTGTTATTGACACAACCCAGTTCCTTAGAAACTCCACGTGCCCAACTGCAAAAAAAACTTGCTTCACACTGCACTTTTCTGACACTGCACAAAACATTTGTCCAGCTGCACATTTAGAACATAAACGCAGTATCTGGGAAGGCTGCCTCAGCCCAGTGGAAGGGCCATCAATGAATGTTAATTCGTGCAACAGCTGAGATTGCTGGAATTGCTTATGGAACCAGTTTGTTAGTCTCCAATGGGAGACTTGTGGGGTCTACTCTCAAGTTGAGCTCAGCTGGGTTTGAGCAGAGTTTGTTTTAAGGCTACCCTTAAGGTTTCCAGCCTCGTGCATTTGCAGGTAACAATGAACTGCTTTGGATCTCTCAGTCCTGCCAGCAAAAGGGAACCAAATGCTTTGCTTCACAACACTGGAGCATAACAGAGCCTGCAGGATCAGCCCCGTTACTTATCCAGCCTTTCTCTCAGACAACAAATCAGAGCAAATCAGGCTGCCACTTCTTTCCCAAAGGGTGATGGAGAGGCGACCCCACTCCCCCCTTCTCTTGCCCTCATCAAACCTTGCTGTGCAGGGAGAAGCAGAGCCTGGCTGCAGAACGGATTCTGCCACAAATAAAAGAACCTCCAGCAAGTTGCTACAGGCAACGAGGACTGGAGCACCCGGCTGCAGCTTCTTATTTTCAGACACCTCTGGACCAACCGTTTTCACACACCAGCTGCAGTCTGGAAAGCTGCTGCAGAACAGCATTGTAGGAGACCCCCACCCTGGGGGATCCGTTCCCCCCCCCTTTTCACAAGTTGCTGCACACACAACTCCTAACAGGCTGCTCTGATCATACTCGCGCTCTGCACTGGGCAAATGTAGGGATTCCTCAGGATTCCTGCAGAGTGTTGGAACTGCCTTAGAGTCAGCCCCCTGGTCCAGCTAGCTCAGTATTGCTGAAACTGACCAGCAGCTCTCTGGTGTTTTCCTGAGGCTTCCCTCCTAGGCAGATGTTCCTAGCAGAGGCTGGATGGCCGTCCATCCGGGATGCTTTAGTTAGGACCCAACATGCAATTATGTTCTTCTTGGATCAAAGAGGTGAGGGGGGGCTGAGCGCTTCCTCCTGAGAGAGACTGGGGGCAGGGGATGTTGATATTTTCATCCCCTCCCATTGCAAGCATCTCCTGATTTGATGTTTTGAGAAAGGAGGAGTGCCTGATTCTGTGTGTGGCGAGAGTGTTATCTATGTAGTGACTAGGTGGCTGAGTGGGAGGTGTAACACTCTTAAGCAAGCCAGTAGTTCTTTAGTTTGTAGTAGCTATTAGAAATAAAAGGAGTTATGCTTCACAGCTAGCTTCCATGTTATTTATACTCTGCTGAGTCTGGTGCTCACCAGGATTGGAAGGTCTCTGAAAGTGCTCCAGTCATCTAGCCCAGTCGGGGCAGAACCAGTTATGGAGCCCAGTCGCTGACAGGGGATGCTTATGGGCTGGAGGAGTCCTGGCAGCAGCCGGCAGGAGTGGCTCTTGCATTCTGGGATGGGGATCCTTGGTGTCCATCTTTTAACATGCAGGTGTGCTTAGTCAAACCACAAACAGGTGGGGTCTGCAATGCCCCCTGAATGTTCTGCCTCGGGTGTTTAGGAGTTCACATCTATGCTTACGGGGTCAAAATAGCACGTGTCGTGCATGAGGGAAGTGATCCGCAGGCTTTGAGGAACTCGGGGATTTGGCATTTTTATTTTAAGGGACCTGAAGGGAGAAAGGCCCAAACACATCGCAATGGGAATGGAGCATGTTCAGCGCTCACCGGCTGAAACGGAAAGCCAGGGCAATGGAGCACTTGGACTTGCGCTTCAACAGGACTTGTCCCATGGAAAAAGGTGTCTCAAACAGAGCCAGGGTGTGGATCCATCTCCACTGTCTAACCCAGCAGTTGTTGGACTACAACTCCATTATCCCTAGCTAGCAAGACCAGTCTGGGTCAGGGATGATGGGAATTCTAGCCCAAAAGCAGTTGAAGACCCAAGTTTGGGAAACCCTGGTCTGTACTGACCAGCATCAGCTTTGTAGGATTTCTGAAGTGTGCTTAGTCAAACCAGAAACACTTATGGTATGGATATAGATATAGGAGGGTTTTTTGGGGGGTGGGGAAAAGAAGAGAAACTACACATTTTTGTTCCTTATCTGAATGCAGGTTTTTAATTTTGTCACTTCTCCATTTGAAGCTTGTTATACAAATGGCACTTACAAAAAAAAAATATCAAGGAGAAAAAAACTTGAACCAAATATACCAGAACGTGAGTAGTTGTTTTTTTCAGAGCCACAACAGCCAAGGAAGGAAGGCAAGGAGGATTCTCGGCTTTTAAAAAATCGTTACATGGGAGAAGCCAGCTGGGGTTACAAGTTTCAAACAGTCATCCATGAAATAAGGGGTTTTGGGGTGGGGGTGCAGCATGAAGTATGAAGGCCAGCAAGTATTGAAGGATTGGGGGGGGTGGCAGACACTCAGCCCCCCGGCAGCCGCCCCCTTTCCCAAAGCTCTGTGTGTTTCCCTTGAGAATTCCCTGGACTTCACCACTCCCAAAATGTCCCGATAAATCCACGCAGAGCTCCTGGGCCATCCCAGAAGTGACCCTCCTTTCCTCGTAAGGCAAATCATTCCAGTTGCTCCAGAATTTAGCACCAAGTGCAGAAAAGGCCCCTGAAGGTGGCAAAGGGTGCGTGGCACGTTTAAGGCTTGTCGCGTCCTCCTGCCTGGATCAAAAGGTGGGCTGGTGCTTTGAATTTCGGCAACAGGAAAACCCAGGCGGGCTCCAGCCGTGGCTGCAGGGGAGCTGATGGTCAGGTGGAGTTCAGTCACAAAGGGAATCTTTTCCTCCCTCTGCATTGCATGAGAAATCGGGGTGCTGGAACAGGCAGAGGCTGCCCAAGCAAAGAGCCACAGCTGGTGCCATCCAGATGTTTTTGGACCACTTGCCCCAACCAACATGGTTGAATGACATTGCGGCAGATGGGAGCTGGGGTGCCAAACCTCTGGAGGGCCCCGGGTTGGCCGAGGGAAAGGAGGGGACCCCCCAAAAGGCAGCCCAGAAGAACAAACCAAGGTCCACAAGACTTTTTCCAAACTCCCGAACAGTTAAGCAACACGCTACAAATGGATTATACAATACTGCAAATCTAGTACAGACAGTGGAGGTGGAGAGCATATATAAATAGACAAGAAAGACGCTGTTTGGTCACCTTGGGTCGCCCCAGAAACCCCACAAGCAGAGCAATCGGCTGGGGGGCAAGAGGGGGTTCAGAGCAGCCTTGGGGGGAAACCCTGGAAGAGGCATGTGAGGGGGGGGCAGAGAAGAGGTAGCCCCCAAGATGGGAGAGCGATGCCTCAATTCCGAAAGACCGCTTGGTGA